CTATTCTCCTTTCCTTTGTGTACACAATAAACTATTCCTACTATTCTGGCCTTACCAAGACTTACCTTCTTTACTAAGTAACCATGGTCTGAAGATCGCAGTTGTCAGGGTTTAACTTACTTAACCCCCTGTGATATTGTTATCTCTGACGACAAAATTCTGCATGATTTCAAGTCTCAGAACAATGAACAAACCGTTCCGATGCTCAGTCAGTCCTCTTCTTTACTGTCAATCAAAATACTACCAACAAACGCCATCCAAAAACAACAATATGCATTCCATTTTCTAAACAGGTTCTGTCCATCCTCATTTATTTATAACCAGCGAATAATGCCTTGCACGAAGCCTCGGCTGTCTGTTTGTTTGCATTGTACGATATATAACCATTTGAGGTTCCGCATTGGTCGATATGGGGCACAGAAGACGTCCAGTGCAGAAATCTAGCGGGCGGCAGATCTCGTAACGTTTGCTGGAAGTGAGTCTGTCTAGCAGACCTAACGTCCTGTTCAAGGACTCCTCGGCCATGTACAGTGCCACAAAGCCCACATGGATTATGCAATCGTAGATGGCGGACACCGCGTGCCAAGTCCACTGATGAAAGGCAAAATCTTGCATGGCAGCCTGTCCGACGAAGTATTCAGTTACCCCGAAGGTCAGCAAGGCGCCAAAGATAAAACTAGTTAGACGTCTCTGGGTAGCCAGGAAGGAGAGCCGTTTTTCTATCCCGACATCACAGATACCGTGTTGAAACACAGCGCTCAGCATGGAGAACTTTATCAGTGTGAAGGCCACAGCCGGCACGGTATGTACGAAGAGCAACTCAAAGGTGTTCGACTCGCTGGTATGATCGGGAACTAGCAGGCGTAAATGAAACTCAGTCTCTGCAGAACAATCGTTGAAACGTAGGGGCTTTATTGGTCCCCAAACGACGAGAAAAGCAAAGCCCATTAAGGACATAATCTGAAAGACGAAAGTGCTTCGCAGAGTGCCGATGTTGAATGTGATCTGGGGCTGGGCCATTATGGCTTCGTTACTAGCGAAGACGACATAAGCCCAATTTCGAAGACATCGTGTGTAGACAACAAAGTTGTCAGCATACCGTAGCATCTGTTCGGTACTGTTCTTGATAGAGCTGAACTTGAATACTTCACCATAGCTAATAGCTTGAAAGGTGAGATTGCAGGCACTTTGTGAAATGCCAACCAGACAACAGAAAGACAGCCAACGTGTAATCACAGCGTAACCCATTTCTCGGAGACGAAATGCTGCTGTCAGGACATGAAGACTGAGGATTAGCGAGAATGCTTCAAAGAGAACATGGATGCAGGCCAAAAAGCAGACCAGCACAAAGTTGCTTGCATCTTTTTCGACGCATCGTTGATGCAGGATAAGCTCCTCGATCTCAGCTTGATTCATTTTTCGTGGCGTAATTTGAATGAGGAAAAATCGATAGCCAAGGTCAGAGTTGGACTATTTGTGACTTTTGGAGCTGTGACTCTCCAAGGCTTATGCTAGGCAAATTCAAACAACCAATGAAATAATTATATTGCATTACCATGTGATGTTGGCAAGCGAAATTGATTTCTTCCTAGTTCTGGTCAGTACCAACTATTTAAATTTTTCCAAGAGGGCGTTAATCATCGTGACTGAAACATCTTTAGATAATTTTTAGAAAGGAATTCTCAGCCCCTCTTTCCTCCAATCGGTCTAACTTCGCCTTCATGAGGATCTTTTCATAATTTACCGATCGAATTATGGCGGCTCCAGCGGGGTTAATTATGGCTGTCGGCAGTTAAGCGAGCTGCGCCTATTCATTTTAAGTTATATTTGGGACCTGCTTTTCAAGGGTTTTATGAGTATACTTATTAACGGTTTTTAGCACATTTGCTTACGCATTTGACCCACTTATCAAAATAACAATTTATGTATGCCAGTAAAATATACCAATTGAGTCTGATAGTCATCTAATGGATTCTAAATTGATTGCTTATGAAATCCTGCGATCGGCTCACTTTTATCAGAGTGGATGGATTTCAGGTGTTGCAGTAGGCCGAGCGGGTGACTCGATCGAACCCTACTTTACCTCACAATTCCCGGCGCAACCTGGAC